TAAAATTCACTGTATGATACATGTCATGGTCTCCTTGTATCCCATATCTTAGAATAGTAATAACAGCCATGGATAGAAGGCATAATGAGTTCACTTGTAGAAAATTATATCCATATCCATATCAATAAAATCATATCAATTTGTATCAATATTTTTAAGAATATCAATAAATACATACCATATTATAAGATACGTATCTATATATGAAAAGGTTTAAAATTTACTGTATGATACATATCGTGGTCTCCTCGTATCCCGTATCTTAGAATAGTAATAATAGCCATGGATAGAAGACACAATGAGTTCACTTGTCGAAAATCCAGACTCCAAGCCACTACAACAACCATGCGCCGCTGCCGCCGCCACTATCACGCGGCATCACTACGCCACAAAATACATAGCCAAAATCAGCTCAACCTCCCCGACCGGCCGTTCCCTCACGCCCGAAGTCACCCCACCTCAGCCCATCCCTTCCGAATCTCGCGGCTACCCAATCCCGAGCCACCTTATCATCTGCAAGGCCATTCGCCTCATCCAATACTGTATCGCCACGTCATCGCTGTCGGATTACTTCTCCTCTCTGTCTCCCCCTCTCACTTCAGCCGAAGCCTCCGAAATTCTCAAATCCTTAAACTGTCCTTGTCTCGCATATAATTTTTTCCAGTTTTGTCCATCACTTCCCCCTAATTTTTACCACGACGCCTTTACTTACTCGCGACTCAGTTTAATTCTATCTAAATCGACTCTCCCCGACCGATTTGCTAACGTCCGTGCATTACTGAGCGACATGGAGAGGTCCAAGATACGTGGAAACATCTCGACCGTTAACATTTTGATCGGCTTCTTCGGTAATTCTGATGACTTGAAAAATTGTATTGGGTTGGTTAAAAAATGGGACTTGAAGATGAACTGCTACACGTACAAGTGTTTACTGCAGCTTACTTGAGGTCACGTGACGTGCACGAGGCGTTCAGGGTTTACAGTGAGATGAGGAAGAAAGGATATTAGTTGGACATCTTTGCCTACAACATGCCGCTGAATGCTTTGGCCTAAAATGAAAAGGTTCTTGTTTTGAAATTCCAAACTCTTTTTTATTTTTTTTTTTAATTAATGTTGATGTTTGTTGAATTATTCAGCCTTATAATTATTAATGCATGGAGTTCAAAGCATGTTTTATAGCTTTTCCTGTAAGCATTAATCTTCTGTGAAGTTGAGGTAGCCATGAATGTGGATCTGTAGGGAATGTCTAGGAATTTAAAACTGATTGTCAAAAGTGGAAGAATATTTTGAATTAACTCTCCAGTGACTTACTACATCTTAATGTTGAATGACTATTACATATCAATGTCTTGGTTTGTAACGCCTCTCCTACACCTACCTCGTGCAGAAAACAAGACCTGCACGACTCAGCAACACTCAGTAAACTAAAAGGATAAAAATATCTGACTAGATGGTATATATACACGAATCATTATGGTTTGGTAGATTCTGAAAATGAATGGGAAATCGAGACGTGCTTCTCTCTCAAGTCTCAATTGCATAGATGCTTGTTCATGTTGTCCTTGGCCCCTTCTTCCACATTGCCCAGAAGCTACGTTTCTGGCTAATTAAGCTGTGGGGTATCAAAAGGAAGCAGAGAAATACATACATATATATATATTATATTCAAAAAAATATATGTAGTATCTCCCTGACTCTCCACATATACATGCTTGCATGATCCATATATATATATATATATATGAAGCTGGCCTTGTCAAATATTCAGCCCTCCCAGTTATCTGAGTTCTTAATGTATAATACCAATGTGACTATGCATCCTTATTTATTATCTAAAAACATGTAACACCATATAAATATATAATATAGCTCTTATATTCTCTACATAGTTAGCCGCTCCAGGGGCAAATCATTTATAGCAGTAACTAATGAGATGCATGATCAGCCTCCATGGTTAAAGGAACAATCATGATCATCAGTTTATATATCAAACAAGTTCATATATACGAATGTATATATCGATTTGTGAGAGCAGAAAGGTGGGTAGCTGAGAGTGAAATTTATGGTCCGTTTGTTTAATTATTTTTGCACTATCTTATCCCTATCCTACCTAAAATATATATTTGTTTTTCTATTCTGAAAATCCTATTTTATTTTATTCAATTACTTTAAACCCCCTAAGTTTGTTAATTTAACTAAACATTCCCCAAAAAAAGTTTAGAAATTGACAAAAACACCCCCACCCACCTACATTTTCCAGATTACGGTCACTACTGTCAAAAGTTGGTTGGAATCTGGTATAATGGCGCACTATCGGCTAGATCTGGCTGATAGTGCACCGATCTATCATTTTTCGGCCAGATCCACCGTAGATCTAGCTGAAAAATATCAGATCTACGGCCAAAGGTCTTGTCGTTGATGGCCATAGCTGTTCGTCAATGACAGCCAAAATATGGTTGTTATTGACAACTAAACATGGCTAGATTTGGCCGTATATCTAGCATTTTTCAGCCAGATCTATAGTAGATTTGGCTAAAAAATGTCATCTCGGCGTACAACCAGTTAGATCTAGCCGTTCGTGCATTAATACGGTGACTCCGACCACCCTCGATGGTGGTCGATTGTCGGTATTTAATGAGTGAGTATGGGTGTTTTTATAATTTTTAATGTTTTTATTACAAGGATATTTAGTAAATTAACAAATCTAAAGGGTGTTTTTGTTAATTTTTAAATCTTACCTTATTATTCTCACTCAATTTTTACTTTTTCAAAAATACTATCTAAAATACTAAAACTAACGGAGCTTCCGAGTTTTGACTTAGCAAATACAATACGCGGCTTTATGTTTCATTCAACTCTACAGCTAAGCTTAATCTGGCATTCATATATAAAAGACCCGGCCTAACTTAATATGATTCAATTTCTTACCAAAGAAAATTAGACATACAATCTTTAATAATTTGATTGTATGGGACTATGGAGGAGGAAAGAAACAGAGAGTCAAAGCCCCACCGACAACCGACATAAGCCCTACGTGGAGTTTGTGTCAGCCAACCTCTCTCTTATTATACGCCACATGGCATCGCCAACAATCTCTCCTTAAATACTCACTGATAATCACTTGTAGGATAATTACTCCTCACCCCCCAAGGTTTTAGACTAAACTTAAACCCAACTATTTTTAAATCTATAAGACTATAACTTTTCTTATGAAAGGATTACATAATTGCCTTTTGTCTTATTATAGAAATATGTGGGTATAAAATGAAGTGTTACCCTAAACGTCATTGTTGAGAAATATAAATTATTCCACTTAATTGTCAATCATGGTTTATTTTATGAACCGATGGTGGGGTGTCTTTGTCATTCCTTCAAAGATGAAGAAGCTATACACTAGCTGTTAATTCCTAAAGCACCTTTCAACCCATATTTAATTTATATATTCATAGTTGAATTTGATTGCATTTATAATTATACCAAATCAAATATTGCCAACTTCATCTATTATACCCAACACCAACAATAACAATGACAAGCTTAGAAAAAGGACTCAGAATGTTTATGGTAAAAGTTTTGGCAATTGACCACATATCTATTGGAAGGTAATCAATCAACATGTTAAATTATTTTATTATTATGCTTGTAATATGGTCTAAAATTAGATATGGGTTGTGTTTTCTATGTCAACACTTCAATAAAACAAAGGATTTATTGGAAGACATGATCGTATTATTCATGGTTTTTAGTATCTTACGATACGATACGATTCGATACGGATCGCCAACAATACGTATCAGAGAATATATCATAAACCTTTTGATACGTTGATATGTATCTTACGATACAATACGTATCCGTTTGTATCCTTAAGAATATCAATATAACTTTATTAATTTGGACCAAAGCTCTAAAAATTTTTTTAAGTTGAATCCAAATCACCCAATCCGGTTGACTAAAAATTGCTCAAATTTACCTATTTTGCATAGAGAAAGTGAAAGGGAAGATGTCTTCCTCATTTTGCATGATAATAATAACATAAGTGGATATATAAATATTGATATTGATCTTAAAAATGATATAAATAGTTTAGAGGAAATGATATAGATTCTTAATTTTGTTATTAATTTTAATTATGTAATATCATAATTTAAAGCCAATAATACCACAAAATTTGTTAATTAATCATGGGGATGATATTAATTTTTAGAAATTTTTTAATTTCTTTTTTTTGTAAAAAGTAAATCCTACGATACGATACGATACGCAATACACGATTTGACAACCATGATATTATTAATTAAACAGGCTTAGAAGAATGATTTAGGATGAGTTTGGTAAAAATTTTGGTAATTGACCATTTATCTATTGGAAGGTAATCAATCAACATGTTAAATAATGGTCTAAAATTAGATATGTCCCCACTTAATAAAATAAAGGATTTAATAATTAAATGGGCCCCAAGATAAGGATTCCTTTCCTTGTATTCTAATTTATACAATTATCAACCCCTTAAATTTCTGTTATATACCGAACCAAACCCAAATCATCAAAGTAAAAATACTGATAAGTTTTCCGACATTGATCGGGGTAAAATTTAGACGACCCACAAGTTTTGAAAAAATGACAAATTGATCCAAGGTAATGAAGAATGATGTAACTGTCCAAAGAGTAGATGAAAAAGTAAACATCTAGATATACGGAAGCCGAAGTCCCGTGACTCTTTCCGGTAAGTGTGGTGACTGGTAAAAAAATTTAATGACTCTCACCATTTAGTCTTCAAAGTAATGAATGATTGAATCTTAAAGTCATGGAATCATCATCAACATCATGAAAGCTACTCTTCTCTTAACCACTCTTTAATATATTCAATTACCAAACACGTCTGATCCTACTGAAAACTACTTCTACTGTTTATATACCACCTTCTTTAAGGAACAAAAGAAAACTTTTATTTTTTTACAGTATATACAGTGGATACACCTACCAAGATGGTATTTTTCCTTTTCTTTATCTGATAAAATATAAATAAAAGCGTAAGCATTCTGTGGCTTTGGATTCTTCTGGCAAATCGTGCCTGCCAGCTTTCACTTGGGTATGGCTAAATAAGTAGAATAATATATCGAATATCAACATTTTAACGACAAAAAAGCTTGGAATCACCATTTCCGTTCAAATCCCAGTCACAATGGTGGAGAAATGGAGAAGAGTTTTGGTGTTTGTATGGTTGATTCTGTGCATTTTGGAATGGAAACCCTCTTGCATCAATGCTGCTACAAATCCCAACGATAGTTAGTTTTTCTTCACCCGTTTCCTACTTTTTTTCTCTTTAGATTTGAAACAAATCTGCATTTCTGTGTAGCTTTTTACCTGCTACTGATTTACATCTCTCTCTCTCTCTCTCTCTCTTTTTGGGTTGGGGGGATGGGAGTTTGGAATGGTCTGGCTTACGGCTTATAGTTGATGCACACATTTTTTAGGCATTTGTACATTTTACTTTTTGTTCAAACTGCTTTAAAAACTTCCAATTTTAGGAAAGTGGGCTCTTTTATTAGATGCAACTGATTTAAGGAACTGAAGCTCTTCATTTTGTTTCGTATTGTACGTTATGCAGTAAGTTTTGGGTTCTGACATTGTTAATTTTCCGGTTAATTATCTTATCACATCTGGTTGTTAAATCCCCTTGAATCACGTAAGCCACTGTACTAGTTTGTTGAAGGGTTAAAAATTTAAGCTTTCCTTTTCGTTATTGTGGGAGATGGGTGTTTGAGAGAGTACGGATGATTACTATGGGGGTTTTCATTGAAGATATCTATAGATAATCGGTAAGTATTAAGGAGGTGTCCAATCTCTTATATTTTACTTGATAAACAACCGCAAGCAGTGATTGAGGTGCAACATTAATTCTAGGAAGGAAATTTCTCTGTTGGAGTTGCTTTTACCTTTTTTTTTCCGAAGAAAAATGCCTCCTTGTTTGCCTAATTCTGCTATCTATCAGATAGGGAAGGCGTAAGTTCCATCCCTCCCCTTCTGAATGCTTATTGAATTTGCACAGGTTTTCTGAGTAATGATGCTAATTATGAAATATGGCACCTAGAGGATTTTGATTTGAAAGCGTATTGTGAACGTTTTAGAGAGATTGAGCCTAAAGCCACGACCCAAAGCCTACGATAAAGGACACCAGGGCTTCCGCTTAAAAGATTTTATTAGGAATTCCCTACCATGTAGATGTAGAAAAGAAACTCCTTTGATCCATGAAGCTATATCTTCTACATTTGTATTACATGATGTTGATTCAACTCTAGAAGAAACAGGGATAAGGAGAGAGATTTTGGACTTATGAAAATAGGGACTTCCTTTATGGCCTTTTCACATACATAAGTTTTATACAATAAAGAAGAAGGCACTACAGTAATCCATATGAAAGAAGAAAGTAGATAGGAAATACTAAACTTTTCAATGTGATGACCGTAAATGTTTTGCTTAAAAATTTTTCTTCCAGTTATTAGAGTAAGTCTCCCACACGATAGAATATTTATCCCGGGAAGGGCAACTTGAATCGTTAGCTTTTATACTTTGACATCTTTAGAGTCCTAGAAAGCTATTGTACTAGAAGCTATTGTCTGCTGCTTTTAATAAAACAGCCTTGTGGAAAACTTTCGGACTAGTCTGTTAATTTAATTAACATGCTTCTAATGGTAAACTATATATTTATCCTATTTATTGCGTATTTGGCAAACAGCTTCTGCTTTAAAGACCATGTACAGCAGTTTAAATTCACCTGGTCAGCTCAGCCAGTGGGCTGGCGATGATCCATGTGGGCAGTCTTGGAAAGGAGTTACTTGCTCAGGCCAGCGAGTCACAGAAATGTGATTTTCTTCCCCTTTTTTTTTGTTCAAGATTGTGAATTTCAGATGTCATAATCAGTGCTGAATTTGGGTATATATTCTGTTTTTTTTTTTTTTTTTTTTTGTCAGCAAAATATCAGATCTTGGTCTCACTGGACAATGGGGTTGGCAGCTCTCAAGTTTGACCTCGGTAACCAACCTGTAAGATTAATGTTCTTCTAGTCTCTCTTTTTTCTTGGTTAACATGCATGGTGAATTCTCATAGGGACCTAGAACTTCAACATTTTAGTTGTCTGAATTGATTCTTATATGTAGATGTAAATATATGATTACTCTGATGTTTTGCTTTGATGAAATACTGCAGAGATATGAGCAATAATAATTTTGGTGGTGACATTCCTTATAATATTCCCCAAAACTTGCAGCGATTGTATGTTTCTTACATACAAATTTTTTCTTCCCTGTTTTGATGGTCTTGTTTCTGATTTCTTTTTTCTTTATTTTTATTATTTACAGTAGATGTTCTTTTGTATGCAGAAATCTGGAAAACAATCAATTTACTGGAAGTCCCCCTTACTCCATTTCGCAAAAGACTTCCCTTAAGTACATGTGAGTGGCTTTGCAGTTTTTGATTATTTAGTATAATTGCTTTGCCACAACTTACATGGTAAAGCATAATCTCTTTTGTTTCAATTTTTTTATTCATTAATCTTTGAACTTTTGGGTTGCAGAAATCTAGCTCACAATAACCTTCAGGGTCAACTAAATGACATGTTTGGACAACTTTCTTCTCTCTCTACATTGTGAGATTTTTTTTTTCTTTCTCTTTGTTTCTTTCAAAGAATTTACTTTTAACCATACATTTGGGGTACATGTCCTGCTTTGCCATATTCCTGTAAAAAAAAGTACTTTCAGCAGACCTGAAA